CATTGAGACTCATTGTCTTGTTCAGACAATGAATAAAATAAAACATTGTCTTTCTATTGATTTTATTAAAACGGAATAAATTTATAGGAGGAGAGCATGAAGATAAATTTATTATAACAGTAGTATGAAATATGTTTCAGAAATCGCTGTCAGTATTAAAATGTTTTATTCTGGTTGGTAACATTCTACATTTTGTGCGTAATCACATTTCCTTCGTTGATCATTCCATAAAAGTGATCCTGGACAATACATTTCCAAGCTCGGCCTCCATCACAAATGAAGAAATTTTGGCAATTGTTTGAATCAGCAGAAAAGTTCCATCGTCCAAATCTTGGCACACATCTACGTCAGCATATTCGGCACTTATCATGATCACAAGACATGATAATATTAATAATGTTCCTGAAATTAAGTTTTTTAAGATTTAACTTTAATTTATGACAGGCATTACTTATATCTTCTTCAGAAGGAGAAGTTCGTTTTTGCCAGAAATTCCGATTCGCTAATTTTGTTTACACGACATTTCAAATTATTATGAATGTTTTGATAGGCCAAAGTTACACATTTCGTCGACTTTTTCTCGACAACGGCTGATTTCAAAAATTTTAAATCCCTTTGATGAAATTCGATAAGGGCTCGAACAGATTTTAAAATCCAAATTGTTGGAAAGATAGAGTTTCAAAGAAAGATAGTGATCCAAACTATAATTATTAACCGCATTTTATTTTTAAAATTTTATGGCGGGCCGCAATTATTAATGATTTACAAAGTTTGATATACTATTGAATATTGTAATATAAAAATGCTAACTTATAAAAGTAAATATTTCATAAATTATGGCAACCAGAAAATAAAGTATTTTAAATTAATTTATTGATGGAAGAGAGTTAATGAAATTAATAAAGTTTTGCTTTATAAATGATTTGCGGGCCGCAAAAAACTATTACTAACTTTTGGGACGCGGGTTGCTCATCCTTGAACTCAACTGAAAGAACAACCTAAAAAATATTATAGGCCTACGAAATGTGGTTAATTATAAAAATATCATTTTGGAATAATGAGCTTTGCCCTACGACATAAATCCATTTTGCGACTTGAACTGATCACACTTCTACTTAAAAACTACCTCGTGTTTTCCTAAATTGTAGGAATGATGTGTTAAATAAATTAAATTTATTAAGTATATCAATTAGAAATCGCATTAATTATTTATAAAAAGTTGCTACATTTGATAATCGGTTATATACATAATCGGAAGTTAATGCAATTTACCTAAAGGCCTTGCAATTTTAATTAGTTTAATCATATTACCGTAGATTAAAATGTTTATTACCGCAATTTAAAATGATTGAACTCCTAAGTAACTAATAGTACTGAAGTATTGAATATTCTACAAATCATATTTTATTGAATGCTTCTACTTACCTTTCATTTTGTTATTTTAAATTAACTGTTCCTCTGACACACACCAAATTTAAATATATTCGTACATAAATTTAAGTTGGGTCTTTTTATAACCAAATTATATCTTATCTTCATAAATTATATTGCAGATGAATTTTTCAATAAATATTTACCTATATTAAATGTGGTGCTTATTTAAGGATTAACAATATGCTTTGAACGCAAAATATTTGCACAACGTGCGAAATCAAAAACAGCGTAAATGTTCCAATGGAAGAAAAGATATATTTTCCAAATCCTAATGTACATTATTATTATTGATTTATTATTAATAACAACATAAAGTTGAGTATGCAATATATATTTTACCTTAAACTTGATGCAGCCATATTTTAGATGCATAAATTACTTTAATTTAAATTGGCTCTTGATTTTTTATCATTGTTTAAATAAAAAAATCTGAATTGACATTGCTAAAATATTTGATAAGGAATAGTCTTATGCAAACATTTATAAACAAAACCAATCCAAAAAAGCTCGATGGTGATGGAGTGAATGAATCTGCATAATGCAAATATTATTTCATCATGGTTTTTGAAATATGACAGAATAATATTCGATTAAATCTCAATAATATGAATTTCTTCATTTCGAAATCAGTATAATATTCTTTATAAAGATTAATTATTATTTAACTAATTTGGTAACCATAATAATGATCTGGAGTAATGCACATTGGTAAAATATAAAAGAGTACTTATTTTGAAACGGCGTATGTTTGTTTCATCAGATGCAATTGATAATAAGTATCTTTTTAAATAAATGTTGTAATCTTATGTAAGCTCCTGAGCTCATCCGTGGCTAAAGAGTAAGAGCTTTGACCTTTTTACCAAAAGGTCCATTTTCGATTCTCACCTCGGACAGCTCGATTTCTGGGACTGGTGATACCCGTCTTTACTTTAAGGTTAGATCTAAATATGATGCAACGGCATAATAATATATCATATTCAAAAAGAAAAACTAGCGGATTGTTTTCTAAACAGCGTTATTATATTATAAAATTTAAGAAAGTATGAATATATTTAGTTTCATTTTCTATTCGTTACCTGTACATATCTAGAATCAATTAAATTACAAAATTAAAAATATTTAATTCATTTCACATTCTTTATTTCATACATATCTTATTATAATTTCTCTTAGTTCTTCTATAAAACAGATTCCACATTTATCAAAATAATTATACATTATTTTAACATGTAATATAATACCAAAAACAAATGGCATATAATGATTAAAATATAATAATATAAATGAATATATAAAATTTCATTTTGTAATACATATTCAATTTTACTTTTTTGTTATTATTTACAGTTTAAATTTATAACTAATAGTTCTATTTATAAAATACTTTTTACTCCAACGGCTGATCTGGTAGAGGCCTGTCTCCACAGTTGACGTTTTGTGGAAAATCACAGCTATCTATTTCGGTATTCAAAGTAAAACTCCTGGACAATCCAAATGCCAAGCTTGTTGTCCGTCGCAAATGTAGAATTTCGAGCAATTCGCACTGTCTGCTAACATGGTTCCGTCTTTTAGACCTGCGCACTGATCTCCTGCGACCAGGCTGCTAAGAGCAACCAGGAACAGAGCCAGGAAAGTAACTTTCTTGATTGCTGTAACATGGATAGATCATTGTTAATATTACAATTTACAGTAACTTTTCTAACGCTTTTATCGAAAAATCCGACATTTTTTATGTATTCTCCACGTTTGCAGTCATCTCTATTATTATGGTATATAAGTGTGTACATGTATGTGCGCCAAAATTTGGCAATTTTTCGACGTTTTATTCTCAACGACTAAACTCGATAAGAGCTCGCGTTGATCAATTTTGTGAGATAATAGGTCGACCAATAACTTTATAAAGTGCAAAAATTTCTGTCAATGTTTTTGTCGAAAATAATAAATTTTGAAACAAACTTTTCGGAGAGTTGGATTTGAGCTGATTAGCTTTTAGTAAAGATCGGATAGTGAAGATTGATTCTTTTGAAATTATTAGTTTAAAAGAATCTTTTGAACGTTTTAAATTCAATTCATTCTGCAATTTGTCAAATAATACAATGAGCAGAGATAATTAACAATATAAAAATGGATAACGGACGATCTATTAGTAATATAATGTAAATCGAATACAAAACATTGTGACAAATTTAATAAAAAAATTTACTTTTCAAAGAAATATTCTAAAATATTATAGGCCATATATATGGCATAGGTCATAGTGTTGAAACCGCATGTTTCTTACATAGTCGTTTTTGTATTAAATTGAATTTGAAAACTTTTATTTTAAAACTAGCTGTACCCGTTCACGCTTTGTCGTGATTTAGTTTAAAAAGTTGAACAAAAATGTGTATTTGTTACATTTAGTTTAACGTTACTACTATCTGTTCAACAATTTACCTATTCAACAATTTGTCTACGAATGAAACTATACCTATCAACTACCATTTAACCTCAATCTCAACCATTCTACCGTCTACGAATTTTACCTGTCAACCTATTTATACCTATCGACCTGTTTTTATCTCTACACAATATTTACCTGTATCACCATTTACTATCATTCGTTCTAAATGTCTACCTAAATACATCTACCATCAATAATTGACCTAACTAAACATATACGTGTTTAAAATTGTATTACTATTTAATAATAGTAACTACACGTTATATTACAATTTTCACCGTTTCTACAATTTACTATCACCCGTTCTACTGTCTTACCAATTGAAGTTCCATATGTTTGTCTTGTCTATTCGCCTATCTACCAGTTTTCCTCTCTGTCTGTACCATATCCTCCATTACTGTTCCAATCCTACTTCACCAGTTTACCTTTATAAATTCTCTAATTCACCTTATTATTTACACATTATAAAAAAATTGAAGCTCAATTGATTTGATTGATTCTACGTTTTAGTTAGAAAACGTTTGTATGTGAAAAAGAAAAAGAGCTGTCTTAGAGTTAGAGCTTTTAGAGTTTCCCGGCAATTATTCGATTTTTCTCACCGTAAGAACCATCCTTGGACTTCAACGATCCATTTTTTATATATAAGAAGATGAGCAGTTGAAATTCAAATTTGCTAAATTTCAATTCTTGCGGATTAATTTGATTTATTATTATATATCGGTTAGGTTATACATATGCACTCTTATTGTTAGTTTTTGTCAAAACCAAAACTTTTCTATTATAATTATTAGGGCTAAAATATTATACAGATGAGAATCACTTTAAGACGATTATTTTGTACAATTTCTCGCGTAAGATGCGTTTTTGTGTTTATATGTGTGTATATAAATGATAATATAAGTTTATGTACATATTTTAAGTTCCCGTAGGGTAGTTATAGTAATGGGTCGAAAATCGAAAATCGAAAATGAAAATTTTTGCATATCTTCGCGTCTTGAAGGTTTCTGAACATTTTGGCATACCTCAGAAAAAATGGATGTGTGTGTATGTGTGTTTTGTATATCCGAATTTTTTCGTTCACTTTTTCGAGCTCACGGATCAACCGATTTGAATGATTCTAAAAACTTTCTGCTTGTGTTGACGAAACAATTGCTTTTTCAAAACATTTAATATTTCTCAAACATTTCGTTACAGTACGGGAAGTTCTAGCAATTTGCATTAGAGCACGATGCCATACACAACTAGTTTGAAATATGATTTGTGAAGATCTAAGAATTAGCTAATCGTGAAAAATATATGATCAAATAATATGAATATAAAATTAAACTAAAAATATATATAAAATTATTTTCAAGTTTAAGAAAATGGTCTCAACAGATGAAATTAATCAAATTAAAAAAAATCTAAAATGTCATTATTAATGAAGCAATTACCTACCGTTCATTTTCACTTTGATTGCAATTAAATTTAAAATTTAACTTATATGTTACTTGTAATTATGCTAAATGCTAACTGATACTGATTCTTAGTTATTGGCGTATTTATAAACGTCTGATAATCTTAGAGATAGAAATCGCAATTTTATCTTAAGCTTGTTGAACAAGCCCATATCGAATGATATTTTCCGGTAATTTAAATTAAATATCAGGAATTAAATGGATTATATGTGGACTTTATCTTGTGAATAAAAATGCATATAAATCGAATTTAACGAATACGCATATAAGTTGAGCATCGATTTTAATCCTTTGATATTCATTGATTATTGATATGTGTTTGCACATTATTTTATTGTTGCTTTATTTTTTTATTTATTTATTTCTTTCTTTATTTATTTCAAGCCATTACATTGTGATAATCAGATAATGTTGCTACACAGGCTTAAATCTCAGAAAAAATTGGATCCATTACTTTTTATTATTCTATTCTATTCTTGCATTCTATTTTTTGTTATAAAAAATATAAGTTCAAGGAATAACGTGTGGCTAAATATATTATAAGCTTAAGTAAAAACTAAAAATTTAAATAAAAATCTCGAGGAGCGGACATAATGCCTCCTAGACATCAAGTTACAATAAAGTCTCAATGAAGACACCTTCAGTTTTTATTTAAATTATTAGGTATGTGTTCTTTTTTCTGATTAAAGTTTTAAAAATATTTTTTTAGAATTAATTGTAGTGCTTTAAGTTTTTGACTTTACCGCGGTTGTTTTGCGCAATGATGGTCCACATCAAGTGTCGAAACTTGTAATTTATAAAAAATGATTCTCTTTTAACTCATTTTTATTTTGAATAATCTGCTAATTATTTCAAATATATAATTGTATATACGTGCTTTTGTTATAATATTATATAATAATATATTTTGAGGAATTTCCAGATCTAAAAAGTATGTTTACAGTTTTTAAAAATGCACATTTTTTAAGCTTGAATATATGAACTTATCTTTAATATTTACATAGTGATAGTGTAGTGATTAGCATAGTGATCTCTGATCTCTGATAATGTATTTGTTATGATCAAAAAAAATTGTTTAAACTTTTAAAAAATGTACAGTTGATTTTTAAGATTTCATTAATCTTTTGTTTTCGTTTTGAAATATATATATATATATATATATATATATATAATTACGCAATGTTCATTCTGTAGATCCACTGATGATGACATAAAATCCTATGTCGAAACGTTTGAAAAAAATTAAAGAGTAACTTCTAAATCTTTGCCTTTTATTTGATGTATTGCCCTTGAAGAACTTACTCATATTTCTCAACATCAAAACTAATTTCTTTAACATATATATATATATATATATATATATATATATATATATATATATATAAATATAATATATAATCTTGGAGGTCGTAACGTCAAGTAAAAACTAATTAAAGATTTTTAAAACATCATACGTTTCGACGTAAAATTCTACGTTATCATCGATAGTTTTGAAATTTTTACAATTAGATTAACATACATATTAAAAACACATAACTTGTAAATAATTCATAATTGAATTAATGCAATAAGTGTCAGTGATCACTTTTTTATATAATATTTTTTAGAAATTTAATAACTGAGATGTCGATCATCCGAGGCAAATTTAATTACATTAATATATATATATATATATATATATATATATATATAATATGTGTAATTAGTTAGTTATTAAAATATTTTTTTTATAATTCAACAAATGATTTTCAAAACTTATGGTTAAAAAGCACGCAATGCTTCATACCCAAAAATAATGCCTAATTAATTTATTGGTGCTTGCTTCACATAAAAAATTTAAAAAAGCTAATTGCTGAATCTATATATTTCGATTCTTTTGGAAAATTAAATTTAATTCAGCTGTGCGAATAATGTACAATAATAAAATTATATATTTATTCCTAAATGTACTATTATTTTAGTTTATGATATTAATTATTATATTACAAAAGTTAATAAGTTTGCTTGTACTTTATGAAAAAAACGTTGGTGTTTAAATAACATGGCACTCTTTTACCTAACCTAAACTTAAACCTAACTTCTATGATTTTATTCTAATGTCAATCAATTTCATCATTTCATCTTATTATTCATTTAATTTTATTGTCTTGTAAATGATCCTTGAACAGTATTATCAAAGTCGCAATAAAAAATTATCTGAAACGTATAATTCGCAAGTGATAAGTTCTAGATGGTATGATAAAATGGTATTAATTTTTACCAAAAATTAAAATCCTATTTATCATAAGAATTAATCATTAATTAGTCACTTCATCGAAATTCCATCGGGGGTTTTTTACAAAAGAGTACGCATTATTATAACGAAAATGAAAATAATAATTATGACGCAAACAATAATATTGAATATATTTTTATTTGTTTATTGCCTTTTTAGTAAGACATGAGTTAATAATTCTGTTTTTTTTTTAATTATATTCTATTCTAATATTTTTATAATTTTACCATTGTATAAAATATTTTTGGATATCGTACAAACACTTAGAAAAAATGACCTAATTAACAAAACGCATACTTTATTCAATTCAATGTATAATTTACAGCAAGAGTTGTCTATATATATTTATTTATATTTATAGTGCAATTTCACGCAATACTTCCAAATAAATTAATTTTCATAATATATCGTCTGTAATATAAATCTTCAATAGACATTATGTATGTTATTTTAATGGTTTTTGTATTAATACTTTATGGCGTTTTTGTTTCAAATGCTTATTTTCTCTAACTAATAATGATTTTTATTGATGGTGCCTATTTCTATTTATTCATAGTTAATAGTATTAACTTAATACTAATAGTATCTATTATTTCTGAATGAATTGTTGAACTGTTGGTACCTAACATTCTTTTTATTTAACTCAGCTAATTTTTGTACAAAGTTCAACCTATTTTGAAAAGGCACTAAATTGAACAAACCATTAAAATTTACGAATGGATTTTGAAAAATTGCGTAATGGTTTGGTCTATTCCTGCAATTGACATTGGTTCCATAATCGCACATGTTTGTTTGAGCATTCCATACCAGATTAGCCGGGCAGGATTGGCTATATGCTATTTTCTGGTAACAACGAAAGTATCGCATGCAATCTCTAGAGTCTGGAATGAAAGCCCCATCAGGAAACACTTCACATAAAATGGCAGGATTAGTTTCGACTGGTACTTCATCTTTTGGTTCTTCTGCTGGTATTATTTCTGGGACATTTGTAATTAGTTCTGGCAAATCAGTGGTAGTTGGGTATCCAGATGTCGACGGTGGTGGTTTTTCCGTTGGAATAGTTTCTGTTGGATATTGAGTTGGACCTGCCGTTGAAATTGTTCCTGTTGGATTTGCAGTTGGACCTTCCGTTGGCGCAGGCGTTGTTGTTGTAAATGCTGTTGGTTCCTCTGTTGAAGTTGTTTCTGTTGGAAATGCAGATGGCTCTTCCATTGAAGTGGTTTCTGTTGGGTATGGAGTTGGCTTTTCAGTTGGTTCTGTTTCTGTTGCAGTATATATTGGTTCTTCCGTAGTTGTTGGTGGAAGTGTAGTTGGTTCTTCTGTCGATGTTGATTCTGGTGGATATGACAAAGTGGTCATATCAGTCCATGCTTCGGTAGTCTCTGGATAAGAAGTTGTAGTCGTTACAATAGGTCTATCGCCACAATCCACATTTTGCGGATAATCGCAAACATTTAATTCTGTGTTAAATAAAAGATCTTTTGGACAATGTTGCTTTAATGCAATTCCGTTATCACATGTGTAGAAGCTTGCACAATCGTATGGGTCTCGAATATAGGTGCCATCAGGTTGTCCAGCACAGTCTTGGGGCCAACTAGTACTAGTGAATGGTGCATAAGTCGATATTACTGCAGATTCAATTGAAAAATTGCTTATTAGCAGTAAAAGCGCCGTGCTTCCAATTAAAAACCCCATGTCTAGAAAAAAATAACATTTAATATATATTAGTCGAATTAAGCATTAATATTCAGGATTTTTTTATATTTTGCGTTTTGAGTTATTATATTATGGGCAGTAGCAAATCAAATTCAAAATTATGAAAAATTACCTTTTATTTAAAATCTTTTGTACACTTTAATTGTTTTTACTTCTGTTGTTCAAGAATTTTACGCAAACCTTATACTAGACCAACAACTAAAACAATAAAACAGGCTTTATATAGTTTTCATCGCAAACACTATCGATTGATCCACATCTGTTTATACACAATTATGATAAATTTATTCATTATTCCTTTTTCCTTTTCATGTGTTTATACTAAATATTCCTAAAAAACTATTTTTATCTAATAATATTTGTACATGAATGTTTTGACTAATGAACTTCTTGAATTTATAATCTATTATTTTAACACCATGATTACGAATTATTTTAGCTTGGTATTTGCTCATTTGCAAATATATATATACATTTATAAATATGCATTATGTTTAAAAAAATGTGTTCTGAATTCCAATTAAACTCTTTGTCTAATAAAATACACGAATTATTTAAAAAAAAATCAAATAAGATCTTTATAATCATTGTGAATTGTGATATATTCATATATAATGAATTTATGTGATACACTAAATTGCAGTGACCACATTTTCATTATGTAAACAAATAATTGATAAACAAATAATAAAATTGTATATTTTCTTTAAAATGTTACTGAAAATTGAAACTAATTGTACCCAGGAATACAATTTTCGGGTCTTTTGTAGACATTTGAAAATTTACGATTAAAACATGATCATAATCAAAATCATTTATTTTTATGGTTTTTGGCTGAATTTATATTATATAATATGTTATATTGTACTAGTTGTAAATTATAATATTCATTTATATTTTCGACAAAAAATTAAAAAAATTAATCTGATTTCAAATTGATGTTCCTGAAGTTATTTTGTATCAAACTTTCTTTTAATAATTTATCTACATGCCACTTGAAATCAAATAATGTCAAGGTAAATTTAGAAGAAACAAATCAATGTAGATATGATTAAAATAATTAACGATAAGAAAGACTTTCTAACAAATAATATCATATAATGTAGAAAAAAGCCTTGAATATTATCCAACAAATAAAATGCTATCACAACTCAAAACTGACTTTGAAAAATTTTCGTGTAAATTCAAATCATGTAAATACATTTATTATAAATATAAAATTTTATTTATTTAATTAATGGATATTAATTAATAATTAATGAAACTAAATAAAACTGAAAATCAATACTTAATTAATTAATTTGTGTTTTATACACCTGCAGCAAAAAACTTAAAAAATGGTTGCTTTAAACCTAAAATGCTGACATTATATTTGGATTTACTGAATATGAAATGTATAATCTTTTAGTAAAAAGAAACATGTTCATAATTTGAAAATTACATAATAATAAAAATAATTTTGAAAAATATTATTATAAACTCGTACTACTTAACATTTTGACAAATTAATTTTGTTGGAGCTTCTTGATCACTGACAATGTTTTCAATATTTTTATCACTATGCTACGTGTTTTGCTATATTTTTTTATCATAAAGATATTATGATAAATTTGGTTTACGATTAATAAAACGCTAAATCATCTCGGCAGAAAAGTTGATTATTTGCGTCCAGTTTTGAAAAATTAAGCTTATCATTCTAGTGATTATTACAATTAGTAAAAAAAAATAGCTATATAAAATAATACTTCAAGTGCAAAAAAATTAATTAACTGTTAGCATAATAATAATAAATTTTAATTTTATTTTGGATGATTAATTTGTATCTCTGCTAATATATTATAATGAAAAACCATCACAAACAAATAATTCTGATCAATATACGAGGTCTGTTCAAAAAGTACCCGGAATTTTCGTTTTTTCAAAAAAATATTTATTTATTCGTCTACATTAATGTGGTCCCCTTCAAAGTAGTCCCCCCCAGATATAATACACTTATGCCAGCGTTTTTTCCAATTTTCGAAGCACCCTTGATATTCACTTTTTGATATGTCCTTGAGCACTCTCAGCGATTCGGCCTTTATTTCTTCAATCGAGGAAAACCGCCGTCCTTTAATGGGTCTCTTCAACTTTGGGAATAGGAAAAAGTCACACGGAGCCATATCTGGTGAATATGGAGGTTGGGGCATGACTACGGTATTGTTTTTGGCCAAAAAATTACGAACAAGCAACGACGAGTGAGCAGGTGCGTTATCGTGGTGCAACAGCCATGAATTGTTTTTCCATAAATCGGAGCGTTTTTTTCGGATTGCTTCACGCAAACGTCGCATCACTTCAAGGTAATACTCCTTATTAACCGTACGACCTTGTGGTAAGAACTCTTGATGCACTATGCCGTTATAATCAAAGAAAACAGTAAGCAAAACCTTGACATTCGATCGAACTTGACGTGCTTTTTTCGGTCTTGGCTCACCTGGGCTCTTCCATTGGGACGATTGGGCTTTGGTTTCGACATCATAACCGTACACCCATGTTTCATCACCAGTTATGACCCTTTCAAGCAAACTTGGATCGTTGTTGACGTCATTTAACAGCTCTTGAGCGATGTTCATGCGATTGCTTTTTTGGTCAAAATTTAGCAGTTTTGGAATGAATTTTGCTGCCACTCGTTTCATGCCCAAAACATTTGAAAAAATGTTATGACATGAGCCAATTGATATGCCAACTTCATCAGCAACTTCTCTAATTGTGATTCGGCGATCATTCATAACCATTTTTTCCACTTCTTTCACATTTTCATCGTTTGTTGACGTGCTGGGTCGACCGGAGCGTTCGTCATCTTCAACGTCTTCGCGGCCATCTTGGAAACGCTTATACCACTCGTAAACACTTGTTTTTTTCATAGCAGACTCACCATAGGCTTTTTGTAACATTTCACACACTTTGTTACACTTTATTTCATTTTTTACGCAAAATTTAATACAAATTCTTTGACTTTTCAATTCTTCCATTGTAAAAATCGCCGAGCTCAGAAAAACACGTCGAACCTTAGCGACTACCACAGACAAAGTAAACAGTGAATATAGCTGAAAATTTCATCATACTTTAGGGGCATGTATACCAACACAATAAAAAAAAAATTTGACAATCAGACACTCCAGACCCGCGAAATTTAAAAATTCCGGGTACTTTTTGAACACACCTCGTACATCATCCATGGATACCTCCACTTGTGGCTCAAGTCAATAAGAATTTTCATTTTTTGATATTAAATTATATGGCCAATAACAGTCATTTCAAACCAGAATTTGCATTTTATTAAAATGACTGATTATGCCACTTACAATTAGGAAAAATATCTTATTAATATTTAATTTAAAGTATATGTTAAAATATATATGTGTCATTTCGATAAGCACTTTTATAGTTTAAGTCCAATATGAAACGAGTACAAAGAAGACCAAATAAACCGTTTTGGTTCAAAATTAATTTTTATTGAAAAGAGTTCTAATATGTTCATTAATATTGAAATCAGATATGATTTACCAATTACACGTACTTAGCAAAATTCCTCAATCTATGTTATTTCATTCTGCATGAAAAATTGCGAGTAATATTTGAACAATGGTAACAACTTAATGTAAACTTCTAATAAAACCAATAATCATTAACAATTTATTTAATAAAAACAATTAGAAGTAACAATGAATGATATGTAATAAATATTTATATGATAAATCGACTAAGCCCAATACTTCCTCAGCGAATTTATGCTTCCTTCAGGATAGATGTGTATAACTTAAAATAATAAAATAATATTAGTAAAAATAAATAATAATAAAATAGTTATTAACTTTCCGTAGGGTAAGTTAGAGTAATGAGCCAACAATGTAAAATGAAAATTATTGCATATCTTCACGTTTCTGTTGTTTCTGAACGTTTTGGCATACCTCAGAAAAGCCACGAAGTCATACTAGTTCAGGAAATGCATTAACATGAAATGGTAAATTGTAATTCAGTATAAAGATTGCTACCTTTGCAAGTTTTAATAGCCAAATATTTATATTCATATGAAAAGAGCCAATGCAAATACAGTTGATCAACATTAAGACGATTAAACGTAATACGATTTCTCGCTTAATAAGTCACTTGACTATGAAACACATTGTCTCCACCACGCTTAATATAGGTTTGGCTCTAGAAAATTGTCTTAACATGTAAAATATAAGGAGTAAATGTGTTATTCCTCTTACTTTACTTTGTCCGCTCAGTATCTTTTTAAGTATAATTTTGCATACTATGAGAAGTAATTTACAATTCTATCTCGCAAATAAAAGATCTTGAATTTAATACTTGCCTAAATTTTTACAATTTTTATCTTAAACTACATTTGTTGGGCTTGTAGTCAGATCAGGTTTTCTAGTCGTAGAAGCTGGTTGGGTGGTCGGGTGACCAGGTTCAGCAGTTGTAGGAAGAGCTTCCGTAGTAGTAGATGGTGGTGTGGTAAATGTGGGTCTGCTACCACAATCTACCAAATCAGGGTATTCACATCTGTGTCTCTCCGAATGCCATAAAAGACCTCCAGGGCACCACATAAGCCATGCAGTTCCATTTTCACAGATGAAGAAACTAGCGCAGTTGTAAGGGTTGTCGATGGTTGCGCCAGTTGACTGATCTTCACAGAAATCCACAGGCACTTGAGCAAAAACGCCCAAGGTTACAAAAAATAAAATTACGGCAATATATTTGATACCTAAAATGGTAAAAAAATATCTATATATTATTATGTCTTAATATTTGTTTAACATTGATTGTCTAATCTGACTAAAGTTTGGACTCCCTCATGTCTGCACATAAAAAGGACACAAAAAATATACTACACACTAAATTTATTCGAAAAATAATTATTATTATAAAAATTTTAAAACATTTGTCCTGTGCACTTTCGGAAATTTACATTCTTAAACAATTGTCAGTATTAATACCTTCTCAAAAAATTTAACTCAAAAATGTATATTATATTAAACTATTGAAACTTATCTAAATATTATGAGATTCAGCTTATTATTTCAGCTGATCTTATTCATTTCGTGGGATTTAAACTAATAACGAACTATTATAAATGAAACTTAAGTTTAAAAATCATATTTCCATTTACTATTGTTCTAAAATAAATAAATTGTAAATAATTAAATACTAAATAAGTTTAACATCTTGAACAATTTTACCTTGCATTTTGAAAGCACATAAGATCCAAAGTTGGTTTCTTAATATATTGAACTCACAATACTAAGTGAATCAAAGTTGATGATCTTCATATATACATATACGATTATTCCAAATTATCTAATCTTCAAAATTTATATACATAATTTTAAGTGCATTACTAATTTGATGTAATATTTGATATAATGATACTGATCTAAAAAGTACTTGAACCTTGTTCAATTCTTGTTTGTTCAATTTTGTCATTTTATTACTAATGTTTATATTGATCTAAATTCTAATATATTTGACATGATTAGTAATAAGTTATAGGATAGGTTATTTAGTAGTTAAAAATGAGGAGCTTTCGCTTATATATAGATATAATTTCTCACTCTGTCACTTTCACGTTGATTTCATCATTTTGATCTTTTTTTATCATGGCACATGCACAATGTATAACAATCTTATCATGAATAACAACAGATATACCTTTCGGTCTTTGTACTTTCTATCGAAATATTTAATGGAAACGCAGCTTAAATTAGGCACATAAAATCCAAATAAAGTATACCATAATTAACTTCGCATAGGGGAAGTTATACGAGTAATGGGCCGAAAATGGTAAATGAAAATTTTTGCATATCTTCACGTTTCAGTGGTTTCTGAAAATTTTGGCCTACCTCAGGATGTGTGTGAGTGTGTATGTGTGTGTGTGTGTGCGGAGACAATTTTTCGTCGACGATTTTGGGCGTACGGATGGACCGATTTGAAAAATTCTAAAAGCAATCTATTCCTATTGGCAGGGTGATGTGCTGATTAATTTTTGAAGAGGACAGATCCAGTGGCTTCGGAGATATGGAGCATAAAGTGCTAAAAATGTCAGTTTTTTTAAGAAAACGGATCAACGAATTTAAATGATCTAAAAACGTCCGATTCGTTATGATGAGAAATGGTGATTAGATTTTGGCAAAGGCTGGTCGAGCCGTTTCGGAGATATAGATCTGAATGTGCAAAAAATGGCAGTTTTTGAGAGAACTAAGCATCCGATTTGAATGATTTAAAAAACTATCTGCTTGTGTTGAAAAATAATTGCTTTTGGGAAAAGAATTGTTTATATATATATTTTTTAATATTCAAAAAAAAAAATTTTAATATCGGAAAATAGTTCGGATTTCAATTCTAATTTTATCTGAAGTTCTGAACATCACTTATATACTTCAAATAAATGATTTTAACTTTGCAATTCAGTTTATATAATATACTTAGAAGTATTAGACAATGTCCTTTATTTTAAACCCAATTGATTAAGTTTTGTTTATTTACATTTTATAAAATAAAAAGAATTAAAGTTACATTTAATATTCCTCAAATATTTATAATAATATTTTATTATTAAGTTCCAGCAATTTGCCTTAGGATACGATGCCAAACACCACTAGTATTTTTAAACAAAATTTTCTGGTAACCTGCCTTTAGTTATTTAACCGAAGGAGAAGTTTAAATTTTCGCTAGAATACAACGTTCTATTTTTATGTTTTCTCGACGTTTCAAGTCGATCTGAATCATTTGAAACACACATCATGTGTGTGTGTGTATGTGCGTGTGTGTGCCTGTGTGATTTCAAAAGCCATTTGAAAAAGCTCGATAAGGAGAAACGTTTTTTAGCTTGCAAGACGGTTTGTAATTTGAATCGGGCTGATCAGTTTTTGGTTTTCGTCACGATTTTTCAAAATCTTATCTTAATATTATCCTCCGTTGTCAATAAAAAATGCTCTAACTGAGATAATTAATGTTATGATTCATATTTTTTTAACCAAAATGGCACATAGATGTCACAATTTGTTTTATTTTTTTTTAGTTAAAATTAGTATTACTTAGACATTAAAATGCAAATTGTAAATCAGGCGTTTCAATATTTTATTTAGTTACATATGTTCAAAATGAAGCACTATGTTCTATATTTGGACACTTTTCTTTGTAACTTACACATCACACACACAGATATATATATATATATATATATATATATATATATTTGTATATATGTAGGTAAAAATTGAAAACTTAAATTTACAATTTCTCAAATGTAATTCCGCATATTATATATTCAAGCTGAAAGTACTATGGTATTGTGTATCATAGCATGCTTTAAAATTGAAACAAATAGATAATTTGAATTATATATTTTCAAAAATGATAATAAATATGACAATTTTTACATATTTGAATTTTGCTTAATAAATCTACATTTTGGTTACGCATTCAACATTCTCGGGGTAGTCGCAATATTTCATTTTGTCATTCCATAAAAGTCCTGGTTGGCACTTGTGTAGAACTGGTTTTCCTCTGAAGCATTTGAAGAAAGTAGAGCAATCAGCAGGGTTGGGCAAGAGGACATCTACGGGCCCATCAACAGCTGGGCAACCATTTTCTTCTGGTTTGTGAGTCGGTTGAGGTTTTCCAGTGGCAGTTTCTCCACAATCTACATTTCCTGGCTGATCACAATATTTCATTGCGTCGTTCCACAAAAGATTACCCCCGCAAGCCTTAGATACAGCGTATCCTTTAGCGCAAATGTAGTATTTGGAGCAGTTTTCAGGATCTGCCAAGAAAACGCCATCTAAGCCAGAGCAAAGTGATTCTGGAGCTGGGTGAGGGTTTGGCCTGCTACCGCAATCTACATTGTATGGGAAGTCGCACCACTTGTTCTCGTCTTTCCACAAGTAGTCATTTGGACAAGTTAGAGATTTTGCTGTTCCATTTACACATTGATAATATTTGCTGCAGTTTTTGTAGTCTTCATGGTATGATCCATTTGGTTGATCCTTGCATATTTCATCGCTTTCAACATGGGGTTTCTCGACTGCTGCATCACCACAATCTACATTTTGTGGGAAGTCACAGTATTTCAAAGCATCATTCCATAAGAGACTTCCACCACAAGATTTCTGTACGGCGTAACCTTTGGCGCATACATAATATCTTGCGCATACCTTAGGGTCAGCTAAGAAAACTCCATCAAGACCAGTACATAGGGATTCGGGTGCTGGGTGAGGATTTGGTCTGTCACCACATTCGACATTATATGGAAAATCGCACCATTTATTTTCATCTTTCCATAAGTAGTCATTTGGGCAGGTCAAGGAAACTCCTTTGCCATTAACGCATTGGTAGTATTTGCTGCAATTTTTGGAGTCTTGTTGGAAGGATCCGTGTTCTTGACCCTTGCAGATGTCGTCGCAAGCGACATAAGCAACACACAGGGCAATCGTTAAAATGACCAATTTACCTAAAAGAGATTTAAGAAGTATTTCAATTAAAGCAATTACTTAATTAATGTTTGTGAAAAATGATTATTGCTTATACGAAGCTTTGTGAACCTTCCATTGAAAATTCACTATTGCTTGGTTTTTAAAAGTCATCGGTACTGCTTTATATTATTTGATCATTTATAAAAACGCACAAATTACACAAAATTATCACATTATAATTATATTCACTTAAAAATAAGCAAGGCACTTTCAATATTAAATCCACTTACCAGTCATGATGCTGATTTTGCGAAGAATTTGCACATAAAGTTTCATCCATGTTATTTATACACCAAATTATCAGTTTGATAAGAATTTCATCAGATAAAATTAATAAAATAAAATCACAGATCTAATTAGAGAAAATGATTCAATCATCGCGATCATTTTTGAAATTTTTAAGATTTGATTAAATTAAGATGGTTTCTGGTAAGGGGTGCTGTGAAACAAGAAACTTTTTTACTTGAGTCGTAGTTCTATTAGTTGAAAAAAAAATTAATATTCGCAAAAGGGTTTTTTAATCATATTAAATAATAACAGAATTATCACATATGAAATATTAAAAAATAATATTTCATTAAGGGAGATGTATATTATATGCGATACTATGTATAAAATACGATGTATACTTAATATTGATTGTAAAATCATACTAATAAGATTTCTGTAATTTAAATAAATGTTTTGTTTTATTTGAAAGCTTTCGAATTATCTCTTTATTTTATCTCATATGAATATAATATAAATACAATGACATTTTTCTTGTTGTACTTCATATAATTAATTTCGGCATGAATTGATTATTATAAATACTTTTGATATAGAAATAAAAATAACAAATTTAAATTTTTATATAAAATTTGCGTATCATATAGGACTTTATGTTTAACCTCTAATTTTATTAAATGTTGATTTCTCAATTCCAACATTTGAAACAAATTCGGATTAACTGTTTATGTAATTTTTATTAGATTTACAAACACATAACAAAATATTATATTTTTAATAGTCAATTTATCATTATCGAATAATACAATTTAAATAAATCTAATATAATTGCATTTTTAAGATACATACTTGATTTCAATAAATATTTTTTATCATTCTGATCGACAATAATGTGTAATTGAATGATATGATAAAATTGATCAAAATTAAATTAAAAAATTCCGATGTTTTTTTGATATGATGAATAATAAAAAAATCATGCATACATACATATATGGAATGTATTTATAAGCATTATGAACATTTTCATATTTACTCATTTAAATTCATTTTTTATTTCGGACTTGTAGTTGTTTTCCGAAGTTCACTTTATAAGACTTTATCTACGTTTTAAGATATTTTTTAAAACAAGATGTATGTATCGTTTGAAGATTTTTATTATATTAATAATTGAAAAATATTTTTAAACAAAAAAATGTTTTTGCATAACCGACTATAACTTATGATGGTTTTTCTATGGTGTTAAAAGTTTGTATTATTTTATTAAATAATTTGCTGTGTATTCTGTATCACGTGCAGAATGATTTTTAAATGCCTGATTATTGCTATATATTTTCAAATTGACAAATCTGCAGTCAAAATAACATAAATAAATATTTGCGCTGTTTTAAAATTTTGCACTGTCTTTATGTGAATTAAAAATTTGTTTATATGTATATATATTTTATGTAATAATTATTCCTCGTATGGAAATTTTCAATAGTTTATTAGAATGAAATTCAATTCACTTCTATTTTATTGATCTGCAGGTACAAAACACATATATATGTTATTTTATTAGGAATTCACCCCGTCTTTCAAGACAGTAATCTCACGACATTTTCTCTCAAAGTTTCCGGGACTTCTAGTTAGAGATAAAATTTATGATAGGTACAATTATTCAATCGATATCTCAATACCTTCAATTACGTTCTCACCCTAGAAATTTTCTACCCTTCAGATATAATTTTGCTTCTTCGATACTAATTCGAAGCTAAAATAGTTAAGAAAATAACGACAAAATGTTAGGAAAAGTATGTCTTTTGCTGAATTGTTTGTTAATAATAATAGCCTTCAAATTTTAATAATGATTTATAAATATAATTTTTTATGTGAAATTAAATGGAAAAATTTATGTATTTATTGAATTTAAACTGAAATACAAGAAAATACTTCTACTTTAGAAAAACAAAATCATAAATAATATTAACTATCCAGAAAAACTGCTTGCCTAGTTTTGTTTAATTTATTTGAGTGTAATTATTTTTGTATTGTCCATTTGAGAACGTTTATTTTAAAACCTTATTTAACACTGGCAATCTACACATTATTTTAAGTGTGAACTGATTTGTCGTGAATTAAATTTGATACGCAAAACATTATTTTTATTATTAATCAATATTACTGCAAAATTGTTATTTGAGTTGTATTGATATACTTGCTCAGAAACCAGCATTAGCAAAATTATTTTGAATAATAACTGAAATCATCAAGCCAGTTGCGTAACTATTTGCATTATACCTGAATATTATTTTACTTCTTTTGGAAAATATATTTTATGGTTTAATATATATATATATATATATATATATTAGATTTATAAATTATAAATTTTTCTTAAAGTCCAAAGTGAGACTAAAAACCATAATACAAGTTCAAGTTAATAATAAATCGTTTCAACACATTCCAAACAAAAGGGTTTTGATTCATTTTAGAATACATTTATTGGTTATTATATAATTAATACATAATATATAAGTTATACATTTTGATGGTCCATTTATCTTATTTTACATTTCGATTTTTACGAAAAATAAAACTTTATGTATCGTTTATTCTCTTCGTTTAACCATAACTCAATTGTGAAATAATTTTATCTGTAAATTAATATTTTTCTTGTTTTTTGTACGTTTTGTATAATCTGTTAAAATATGAATTAGTGAAAGTTGTTTTGCTCATTTGTAATATAATACATTAAAAATTGCTTTGGCCAGTAGTGAAATAGCGTGCAATTGAGTGCGTTGAAAAATCTCGAGCTTATTGAAAAAAACTAAATAAAATAAAAATTTAGTACTGCGATAGGGCCCCATATAAAGAAATATCCACGGGCGCCGGAGGGTCTAGTTACGCCACTGCATCAAGGCAATAATTATTAAAATTTATTCTGCTTTTATTGATTTCTGAACATAACCTGAAATTTCTATAATATATTTTTTAAATAAATAAGACATATTTTCATTTAGTTTATTTTTAAATTAACGAGTCTTATATATTACTGTTATTTACAAGTTCATTTATTATTAATTTACTTCACATCCTGCATTTTCAGGATAGTCGCAAACAAGAGTTGTAGGACTGAAATGCAAACCAGCTGGGCAGTTTTGTTTGATTTGTTTGCCTCCAATGCATTGGTAAAAGCTTCCGCAATCTGTGGGATTTGGGTATAATTTACCTTCTTCTGTGCAGGCTGAAAGTTATTTTATTTAGTTATTAATAATGTCTAATAATATATAATAACACATAATTTATAGAAAAGAATGAAATTATCTTACCACCGGGTTGTGTTGGCTTAGAAGTAGTTGGTTTAGAGGTAGTTTCTGGTGGGTTGGTCTGTGGTGGCTTAGTTCCTGGTTCTGTTGGGACTGGAGCAGATGTTGTTCCTGGGGGTTTGGCACATTCTACATTTTCTGGAAAATCGCACCATTTCATAAAATCATTCCACAAGTAATTTCCGTCGCATTTCTTGTGCACAGCGTAGCCTTTAGCGCATAAGTAATATTTGGAACAATCTTGATAGTCGGGAAGAAGCACATTGTCTAATCCTGAGCATACAGAAGGTGGTGGTGGATGAGGGTTGAATCTACTGCCACAATCTACATTGTAGGGAAAGTCGCACCATTTGTTTTCATCCTTCCATAAATAGTCTTTCTCGCATTGTTTTAAAATACCAGCCCGTTGGCGCATTGGTAGTATCGGCTACAGTTTTCCGGATCAGCTACGTAAACGCCATTGGGCTGGTTCTTGCATAAAGCATTGACGTATGCCAGGCAAAGCCAAAGAACTAATAAAACAGCACCTGTAACAAATCATTTATAATGTACTAAAATAATTTTATTCAAAAAGCACAGTATTTAAATCCCATGGTTATATCTCACAATAATTGATGATATCCATATATCTTAAATAACTTACTTTTCATGATAAAACCTATTTCTTGCCACTGACTATAATGACAAATTACAAAATCATTGGCAGTATATAGCTTTTATATGATGTCTGCTTCTGAATTACTTATCTGTTTGCTCATAGCACGATTAAACTCCAGATATAAATCAGTCATTTAATCAAAATCTTCAAAGCACATGCGGAGTAATTATCTTTCAATTTAGAATTTATCACGGATTTGTAATTAGTCGTCACATGTAAAAAATAATTTTATCAGATGAATGATAAATAAAATATATTAGCAAATTCGGGTAATTTAATAATCGATTCTGATCATAGTCCTATAATTTGATACCATAACTTATTACAAATCATATAGCCTATTGCATTTTTTGCACAAGATTTTTTATTAACTTATATTGGCTCTTGATTACATTTATCGAATTTTATGCCAAATTTAATTATATCTTCGCCCATTACACTATATGCCCAAGACATGTTTTCTGAGCTGTGATATATTCCAATTTCTCCACAGCGGCTTACAGAAATTGCACCTACCCCAACGTTTAACTTTTTAGTTAATGCATCTATGGAACATTTTGTAGCTTCTTGAGTGCTAATGCGATCATCAGATGATTGTTGCATAGCCAGTATTATACGATGGGCCAAGCAAAACTTTATTATGGATTCACCATGACCTGTTGCAGATACAGCTCCAACATTATCATCGGCATAAGTACCTGAACCGATTTGTGCTGTATCACCCACTCTTCCTCGTAATTTGCCAATTAAGCCTCCTGTAGACGTTGCTGCAACAACATGGCCAAATTTATCCAATGCAACTGCTCCAACTGTGCCACAATTGTCTTTGTCAATTTCAGATTTAATTTTTTTGTATTTTTCTAATTTGTTTCTTGCATTTTCCGTAACTAAGCTGCCATCTGGTAAAAGTTCAAAACCTTCAAGTTCGGCAAATTTTGAAGCCCCTTCGCCAATCAATAATACATGAGAAGATTTTTCCATAACTTTTCTGGCTATTGAAATAGGGTTGGCAAAATTTTTAATACAACCCACTGCTCCAGCTTCTAACATTTCACCATGCATTATACTGGCGTCCATTTCTACATTTCCTTCAATGGAAAGTACAGAACCGTAACCAGCATTAAATTTTTCGTTATCTTCCATGAATTGAACCGCAGCTTCAGTTGCATCAATGGCATTTCCACCATTCTTTAAGACATTTATAGCTGCTCGAACGGCACTTTTGACACCTGTTAAAATATCAGGAACACTATCCTTATTAATTTTACCGGCACCACCATGAACCAGAATCAGCGGCCGGGTGCTTTCAGAGGCGGCAGGTTTACGACTACAATGACAAAGGTTGGACGTTGCTGGTAAGGATTGCATTGCCTTGATTCCCGTTCTGAATTGACAATTCATGATTTTTTGAACGATTGTGTATTGTTTATTTTATTTATTGCGTTTCGATAATATTTATAATATTATCAGCACGGAATGATTTCTTACTTACTTTCTTATAGCTAATGAATCTACCCATATGAGGTTGCAATGTTTCTATTCTGGTAATCGATAAGCTCTTTTATATAATAAAGAAATTGGACAAAATGATATATCTAAGTTATTTTGGTTCAATTGACGGATGATGAATTATTGCGACCAACAGTCAACTTTTTGTATGGCCAGCGTCGGTCCAAAAAACTGGCACCAGAGTTTTCTTTTGGAAGGTTTGTATAATCGACAGGAAAATTTAAAATTAGTGTTGACGAAATGCTATCAAATATACTTTTAATGATGTTTTATTGAAACATTCTAAGCAAAAATGTGTAAAAATGGTAAACGTTGATATCACTGCCGGCTGAACGGAAAGGAATTTTGGCACCGGGCTCAACGTGTTAAATAAAATTCCTTCTGTGAAAAATGTAAAAGTAAATCGATACTATTTTAATGTAAAAATTATAACAAGAAGAATATTGCATAGAATAAATATAATGTTGCATAGAATATATTATAATATTTATAATATTTCACTTTGTGAGAAACCATTCATATACTTATATTTTATTTACATATTAATTAAGTTTATTTATTTTTAATCATGTCTGCTATATCTAAATATATCAAAGCTATTATTTTTTTCTATAAAATTTTTAATTTTCAATAACAGAGTATGATCAATAACATACTATTAATTAATTATGTGAGGATTAAAATATTAAACGATTACTACTGAATTTCATAGGGTATACATGAATCATGTCGAAACAAACAATTAATTTTAAAAATCAATAAATTTTCAGGTTTAATTATTGATAATTTGTATGTGTTAATGGTTATTGAATACTTATCATTTGTTTTGAAAAGTTTACAACCTCGATGAAATTTGATTTAATGTCATAACTAATTGATAACATTTTTCTTTCTAACGATTGACTTGTCACAAATTAATATCTATTATTAAATCTGATGTGATTTTTTAAATCAATGGAATATATTTAAGAATATATTTACGAGTTTAATTACAGTATATTGATGTTATGGCATGAATAGATGTTATTACATTATAAACAAACTCAAAATATGTTTAATTATAATAATATATTACATGGTTTATTTATTGTTTTTCTTGATAATATTGAAGTGTGCAGTGACTCCGTTAATATTATTCTGTTATATTTTTTTAATAACATATTTTATTTCAAGAAATATAATTAACAAACATAATACGAACGCAATGCAAAATTTGATAATATTGTTAATATAAAGATTCGTAAACGAGCTGAAAGTGTAAGAAAAATATGCTCTTCAGATCTCGAGCACTCTTAAGATGACGAACTTATGCACTTCCAGAAACGCCAAAAAAACTGAACTAGCGACGCATGACATTGTGCCTTAAGGCAAGTTACCTAAACTTTCCATGCTGAAAATTACATTTTATAAAGAGCTTTAAAATTTTTTGAAAAATGAAAAAAAGTGAATTTATATTTTGAATGTTTTTGAAAACTATAAACTTTTATTTTTTAAATTTATTAGAATTGAATTTTATTTGAATATAACAATTCCTATTGATAACGAGACGTGCTGATTAGTTATTGTCCAAGGCAGGTCCAACTTTCGAAAATACGGGCCGAAATGCCAAAAATGATAATTCAGATTTGAGAAACGGAACGTCCAATATCATTAAAATGTATGTACTATAGACAAAATGAAGAACTGCTTAAATTTGTGGGAGGCAATTCTAGCGGTTTCGGTGATCATATAAAAAATTTCGAGATTTGAAAAAATCATTTGGCGGTCAAAAGTGATTATTAGATACATGTATATTATCAGATATTTTAATAATAAGTATAAATTTTGTTTACATATCTATGGGTTCTGTAACATTGTTTATTCGTTATACTAGTGCGACGCGACGCTTACGCGCTTCTATATTTTGACCTTACGCAAGCCAAAGCAGCGTGATCTCAAATTTTTCAAAAAAGTCAAATTTTTTCAAAGTTTTCAAAATATTTTAATTTTTTTTTTAATTGTCGCTACGGGAAGTTCCAGCAATTTGCCTTAAGGCGCGATGCTAAGCACTATTTATAGTATGTAATGCGTAATGAATTTTAAATGAATATAAAATGAATTTTTATATAAAAACTATTTAAGTAAAAATCCAGAAATGGGACGGCATTTTTGTCAGTGCCCCAGGGCGCTCAATTTCTAAATTCGGCGCTGCCTGCACCACAATAGTTATTCATAAAGTCTGTAATTCACACATATAGTCCAGTCATTTGGTGCAAAAAAAGGCTGTTGCCGGTACAGTACTTCGGGAATTCTGAAAATTGGTAATTTTATAGATTTCGAGGTGCTCTTTACGAAAATCAACTTTGCCACCTCAAATTTGAACGGCAAGTTGCCGCCATATTAGAAAAATAGCGTCAAAAAACAGTTTTTTTTAAATATCTCCTTTCTGGCTGACTCTGCGATAAAAGTATCTATGTACGAATTAAACTAGAGAAAATTTCCTACAATTTCTTATAAAACCTTTTTTTTTGTAAAATTGATAGTTTGAGAGTACGGCCGCCTCAAAGTCTTTGCTGCTCTCGCCGTAGTATCAAATCTGTCCATATATGACAGCACTTCGAACTTGACCACATTCTCTCTAATAATTAATATTTATATATTAAATTAAGCGAATAAAATCTAGAAATAAAATAATTCAAATATTTTTTAACACTTCAATGGCAAAGTAGCTATAAGTATACTTATAGCTTGAGTAGCACCTTTATAGCTTCAAGTAGCTTGAAGCGTTAAAAAATCAGCAAAAAAAAAAAACAGAAAAATATTTGAATTATTTTATTTCTAGATCTTATTCGCTTAATTTAACATTGAAAATATTAATTATTAGAGAGAATGTGGTCAAGTTCGAAGTGCTGTCATATATGGACAGATATGATACTACGGCGAGAGCAGCGAAGACTTCGAGGCGGCCGTACTCTCAAACTATCAATTTTACAAAAAAAACGGTTTTCTAAGGAATTGTAGGAATTTTCTGTAGTTTAATTCGTACATATATACTTTCATCGTAGAATGAGCAGAAGAAGAGATATTTTAAAAAGCTGTTTTTTGACGCCATTTTTTCAATATGGCGGCAACTTGCCGTTCAAATTTGAGGTGGCAAAGTTGATTTTCGTAAAGAGCACCTCGAAATCTATAAGATTACCAATTTTCAGAATTCCCGGAGTACTGTACCGGCAAAACGACCAAATGACTGGACTAATATGGGAAAGTTTATACAACTCGTCTGGAGGCATAATGCTACTTACACATACCTCCGATTTCTGTTTATTATTAAATGAAAATATTTTTTTGTTTTAATCGTTTGCGGTTTATGTGGTTTCCTGTTTGAAATAGTTTCGTCAGTCATTCAAATTCACATTGGTAGATGTCTCGATGTTTTATTTCACAGCTGACTCTGACTTTTCTGAAACAAAACAAAGCCATGCGCTTTGCGTCTTGTTTATTTCTCCCCACTCTGTACATGTCAATGGTTAAATGTTGTGTTGCGCGATTGCGTCGCATATGCGAGCAATTTCTACTAAAAAGTGATAACAGGAAATAATAAATAATATTCTAATCGCTAATATGCCATTTATTTCCAAAGACTGGAGATCACCAGGCGAGGAATGGGTTAAAACTGATGAAGGCTGGGAGAGAAGAAACGCGTCCTGGAATGTATGGGACAGCTGACACAAAGCCAGAGGTACTGGATGGAATGATATTCTTACATACAAATCGATATGGCTAAATTCATAATACGATACATTCCATTTAATAAAAAACTTTTGAAACTTCCACTATCATCCAGCAATTAAATAAAAATACTTATTAAATATCCCTTTGACATTTGTTTCTTTTCTGCAGATGGTCATCATTGAATAATTGTAGCTCAAATATTGCGTTTCAGCAATCTGAACAATGGTAAGTATTAAATTTAATTATTACGAAATTTATTTATAAAATACCTAGTTAATTTGTTATGATTATGGAAATAACTTTTAATTTTCTCATCAATTCTAATTATGTACAATAAAGTTCAATGAACTGTACTCCATTGTGTTACAAGTCTTTGTGTTATGACTTAAATATAAATGTTACGAAATTTTGTTTTAATAAAAATATTGATTGATGAATTTGTTTTGGTTAACATTAATGCAATCATTTTTTATAACAATGATATCAAAATTTTTCTACTAATCTTTACAAGAATTTAACAATGTTTTCAATTGGAAGGATGCCAATTATGATTTATTCTAATTTGAGTCATTTAATTTTTTTTTTTTTTATAGGCAAAATAGTATTGAAAATAATGAGCTTGTTAGTGATAGTACAAGTATAATGTACCACCCCACTGCCACATAACAATCAAGTGCACTCGAGAGGTAATTTTCTTAATAAATTATAATAATTATTCTGTAAAAAGAAGTAAATATATATATATATATATATATATATATATATATAAATGAACTAGAATCAATTAAAATATAAGTGAAATAAGCGCCTAATAGGTTCAGCAGTATATATAATATATACTATTTTCGTATTACAATACGAAAAATATATTTTAATATATATATATATATATATATATATATATATATATATATATTTAAACTATAACATAGATTTCTCCAACCCAACAATTTT